GGGTAGCGTGGCAGCTAATCAGCAGCCGCTTCTCTGAAAGTCTCCGAGGCGGCGAATAAGCAACACTTGAGAAAGGAGGACGAGTCGTATTTAACAGGAGAACAAATGCTAAGCCTAAGCCATGCTAAACCGACGCTAAGCTATCGTTAAATGTAGTCACGAAATGTCAGAATACCTGCGCAGCAGAGCACATGGCATTTTCTTGCATTTTCTTGCATGTGTGCCACTATCCCTTCTGCCTTATTCCTCTTTGTCCACGCTGGCATTGCTTTGAACTGGAAATGTTTTAGATCGGTCACATTTTTACTTTCTGATTTTCTGGTGGAGGACATTGATTAATTTCTTCTGCGGGTTTATTCCTTCATCTTTTCTGCTTTTGCTCTCTTGATTTTTTTCCATTCCTCCCTTCTGTCTGTTTTCTTTATTCACAGTTTATTCAAACACAACAGGGTGCTCAGAGCCAATGGGAATGAAGTCTCGGCTGATCTCAGATGGCCAGCTTTCAGCCTCCAGTTCCTTCCGCACGTGGGGCATCGATTCCTTCACTTGGCTCCCTCAGTTTGCCCGCCTGGATAAGCAGGGGAAGACTAACGCGTGGTCTCCTTCCCAAAACAACCGATCGGAGTGGATCCAGGTGACGTACGGTGCACGTGGGTTCATGGCTGCACCGGAATGACACACGTTTCCAAAGCCCTCATCGTAATAAATGTTTCTTGCTCAGGTGGATCTCGAGAAGACGAAGCGCCTGACGGGTATCGTCACCCAGGGCGCCAAAGACTTTGGGGTGGTGCAATTTGTGTCTGCGTTCAAAGTGGCTTACAGTAACGACGAAGAGTCTTGGAGTATGGTGAAGGACATTAACACAGATAGCGATAAGGTCAGTAATATACAAGCACTATTCAGACAAATCTCTTACCTATATAATGTTTATGCAATATATCATCCAGAATTTTCATGTTAGAGAGTCTAAAAATGCCATTTATTCCACACAAGCCCCAATTGAACAAAAACACAAATCCTCTACGTGGTTACATTAGCTGTGCTATGAATTGTGTGGACCCAAGTACTGGGATTCATGCCATTAACCCATAGCAATAGAAAATTGGAGAAACAATGTTAATGGGGTCGAGGCTCTCAGGTTCTGTGACACCAAACTCCTCCAAGCATGTGTCGATGGACCTTGCTTGTGCTGTCGGACACAGTCATGCTGGATCATGAAAGGGCCTTCCTCATGTTGTTCCCCACAATCTCGGATGCATCGACTTGTCTAAAATGTCCATAAGAGGGAGAATTCAGATTTCAGAGGAACTCGGGGCTGTCGCCCAACTCCTTCCTGAAGGTGCTTTTGTCCACATAGCTCACATTTCCCCCATGTATTTTACTGTCACTATTAAGAGTTGGGAGGGTGTTTTAACCATTTGACCAAGATTGAGTGTGGCAGAAAATGACATGATAACATTAATAGTAGAGAATTCATGCAAAAGAGACTGCTGTTTGTGGACCACTTCTGTCGCTAATAAGTCATACACACGATATCTTCCTTACTTGCAGCTTTTCCAAGGCAATATTGACAACAACAGTCATATGAAGAATGTATTTGAGCCACCGTTCTATGCCCGATATGTCCGAGTGGTTCCCTGGGAGTGGCACGAGCGCATCACTCTCCGCATGGAGTTGCTGGGCTGCGATGACTAGAGATTCAACTTACTTTCGCAGGCCTGCATCTACATTTCACTTGCTCATCTCCTCCTCTGACAGAGTTTACATCGTACTGTATAATTCTCTGGATGAAGATCATGTTGGCGGAATAGCTGGGACTTCAAAACATTGTGTGTTGTGTGTGTGTGTGTGTGTGTTTTTTTTTTATCTGACATTGCACATTCTGTGTGTCAATTCTCTAAATTGTATCATGTTCTTACAATCTTCCAATTAATCCACTATCTTTGCATGACGTGTACAGGCCTCCATGCTAATACTGCTGCTGTTGGGTTTAAACAACTTTCTGTCCAACTTTAATTCACGAGTGGAGCACAAAGTAGCATGATGAAGCGTGGTGAGTGCAATATGGATTTCGGTACGCTGTGAGTCCTGTAGATAGACTTTTTCGTTTACACATTTCAAATGTATTTCTATTCATGTTTTTTTTTTAATTGCTATTTTGAGGTAATAGTTTTACAGCACTTAATGTGTAGCTAGATAAACTTGAAATAATTGTATATTTGTATTATTGCACTACGATCCAGGTGGTTAATTAAAGATAAATACATAGTCTTGTTTCTTCTTGTGCATTATAAAAGAAGTAATATGCAATTAGTTTGTTTTCCCCATAGTTTTCCAACTGGTTAGAGGGTCTTGGTAGTAGTTTTCATGCATGCACAGACTTGCCAGTCCTCTGCCCAAGAAGTCATCTGTCACAGGTGGCTGCATGAGAGGTAATCTGAAGGAAAGACTCCCAAAGAATGTGTCTCATCAGTGTCATGGCCAATTTAGGGACACCTCAACAAACCCTGGTATGATAGAAAGATTGATGTTTAATGGACAGAGAGTAGCAAACAATTTAGCCTGATGATATTCAAAACAAAAGATCTTGCAGAAGCTACAAGATACGTTTAGTTGCCCTTTTTGCCTGCTGCTATCTCATATTTGGCCTTCTGTTTTACAAGAATAATTACACCCTATAAGCCATTCTTGTAATGATGCTTACGGTCTTGGTATGTTTGGCCCCTAGCAAGACCTTTCATTTCTTCAATGAATGCGCTGGACACAGAGTGAGTGTTCACCGCAATACAGCTGTTTTCCCAATTAAACACCAGAGTGTTTCCATGAAGCTGCATGGTATGGTGGCTTGCTGGTGGGATGTGACCGAACCATAATAAATTCAAGCTTGTGTTAGCCTTTTTTCATTAGCCTTCCGTGACCTGGAATTAAATCATGTTTACACTATTTAAAGGCACATGCCTTTTTGTCATGGGAAACCGCACACACACACACACACACACACACACACACACACACACACACACACACACACACACACACACACACACACACACACAGGTGGCTCATCCCATACTCCCAAGCAAAAGACAAATTGGACTGGGAGGTTACAGCTTCAGCAGAGCAATGACAGACACGGTAAACCGGATTGAACTCGTGCTTTTTTTTTTTTTTTTTTGTGGTTTCCGTCCTTTTCAAAAACCTCTCGTCCTCCGTCCCAAAAAATGGGCATCTGGTTCCGGAATGCCCATCTCTGTTTGTCAGACTGTTAAGTACAGCTACAACCTTCCACACTCACACCTATGGGTAATCTAAAGCCTTCAGTTAACCTCAGATGGATGCACTCTTAAAACTGCTGGGTTCAAAGTAACCCAAATTGAGTGAATTTGCTAGCTCAGCACTAGGTCCAAAAGGGACCGAGCCAATGCTGGGCTATTTGTACCAACACACTGCATTGAGGATTTGACCCAGCATGTCGGGTGGAGATTATGATTCAACACAAAAAACAACCCATACTTGAGGAATTAAGGCTACAAAGTAATGGGTAACCAGGTTATCATAATAGCTGCGGTTAAAAATAATGCAAATTTTATGACCACCATTTCTAAAAAGAACAAGCAACTTGCCCTGGTCAGAGGTCAGCACAGCGAGTGACTCACAAGCAAACTGACACCATGCTGCCTGAATTAAACATTCAAAAACTTGAAAAAACAAAACAAGAAAAGCTTGCTTTTAAATGTAAACATCTCACCATCTGTAAAACACCCTCTAAAAATCCACAGGTGTTTATTATTGCAGTATTATTGTTATTATTATTATTAGGGGTGTGCATCTCTCTGAAATTAGATCATTTTGATTTGACTGGTGGGATTACATTTCGATAGGGTATGGCTCAGTTGGAAAGGGCATGATGTTATCACTTTTTAGTTGTCATTTTACATACCGGTACATTTGCATAAAGCATGGACGGCATGGTGGTCTTTGTACTGGTTTGCACTCAGTCTCACAGTGCAGAGGTGCGGGTTTGATTACGGCTCTGGCCTTCCTGTGTGGAGTTTGCATGTTCTCTCCATGCGTGTGTGGGTTTTCTCCGGGTACTCCGATTTCCTCCCACATCCCAAAAACATGTGAGTCAGGTTGACTGGACACTCCAAATTGTCCCTAGGTGTAATTGTGAGAGTGCCCTGCGATGAGCTGGCAACCAGTTCAGCAACCTACTCCCGTAAAACAGCTGTGATAGGCTTCAGCACGCCCCGCAACCCTTGTGAAGATAAGAGGATCTGAAAATAGATGGATGGATGAATAAACAGATTTTTTTTATTACAAATCTATATTCTTATGAAAATCTGATGTGCTAGAGGAAAAAAAAAACAAATGCAGTGTTAAAAAGCACACCTTTTTTTCCTCACCTGGCTCTACTTTCACTGTATCTGAAAAAAATAAAACGGCACATGTCCCACTCACAAAGAGAACTAATCAGATTGACGCAAAATACAACCACCTATCCAGTTGTCCTTAATTGACTGAAAAACAAAAAAGCTTTAATCTGCTTGGAAGCAAACTGGACAAATGCAACATGGTCGAGTGGCGAATGACTGTATCAAATTAAGCACACTAGGACACGGAGAGTTTGTTATGATCCTCCCTAAAAAGAACTGCTAATTCCTCAATTAAAACATTAAATATTGACATATGCAACATCTAACTGCCAATTAAAGGCAATTTTTTTTTTTATTCAACGTTTATTTATACAGGTAAGAACTGATTCTTAATTGCAAAGCCGACCTGGCAGAAAAGAGGAGAGTAAAACAAAGCAAATACAAATAGAGTACATTGTGACGTTTTCGCCTTGGCAACTCTGAGTTTGACTGTAGTGTGCACATGCGCAGTGTCTACATCAAGATGAACCGTTTCGTCCCCTCGCCACGTACTATTCGATGCAACCAAACTGCCCGTTGCTGTGACAGACGTGCAAACTGACCAATGAGAAATAAATGTTACGACTGGGGATCTCCCATGAGCGGACTAACAAGCTACTTGCCGACAGAGTTCCTGCTTGAGAGGCGGCGATTGAGAAATATTCAAAGCAAATTGTGTTTAACAGCCACAGTAACGTGAGTATACAATAAAGACACCTTTAGTCGCTTTTGGTGGGGATGTTGCACCATGGTTTTATTGGAGATGTTAACAAAATCAGATCAGAATAAGGTCATTTTAGTTGCTTGGGGGTTCAGCGGCTAAAACTGTCAGTGCCAGTGCTAAGGCTAACGTCAACAGTTCCCTTTGGACCCCAACCAGTCAAGGTTTGATCAGTGACAAAAAAAGAAGAAAAAAAATCACAAGCGACATTACCACTCTAGGCCATATGCCATCAAGGTACTAAAGGTTTGATATTCGTTGTTGTTAAAACTATTCTTATTTATTAAAAGATGTGGTGGAGTCGTGTCCTGCTAATCAGCTGGGTTCTGGTGCTGGTCCAGCTGCTCACTTCAGAGGCAGTTCCCATCAGTAAGGACAGGACCAAAATTAAAGAGCCAGAGGTCAGAATTGAAGATGCTCCAGCTAGTGTGGTAAGTGATTCTTGACTTTTATTTCTCATTAGGATTTTAATAATTTGGCCTCAACACAGCACTTGAATGGATTTACAAATAAAACAAAGTTGCAATTGAAGTTCTGTAAACACCCCATGTCGAATAAGCATTTTTTCAAAAAGAAAAGGACATTCGGCAATGTGCGGCAAGCCCCTTGATGTTCAGAAGAGATTTGGTAAAAAAAAAAAATAAATAAATAAAAGAGGAAGAAATGCTTTTAATATCTGTAGAAGGGGACAAAGAATTGCAATTTCACACAAAATTTCAGCTAAAATAAACAGAACAAATCCATTTAGCAAGACAAACTTGATTTGCTTTATTTGAAAAAAAATGATGTGGCAGACTAGTTCTGGCTCCCGGGCCTCGAGTTTCCACATGGTGTACGCTTTTACTCAGCTTTAAAAGCTTTCGCATATAAAAGGCATTTTGAATTTTGGCATTACCTCCTGACAAGAGCTGAAAATCTGATATATAGAAAGACCATATTAAAAAAAACAAAAAAAAAACAAAAGGCACATTTTAAACATTGCAACTTACTAAGATGCACACAAATATTAAATGTTAAGTGTTACTTGGCGCTGGTTTTCACACTCCAAAGAAGTTTCCAACTCTCCAAACAAGAGACTTCGAGCTTATTATTTGCTTCCCTGAAATGAGGTTTACTGTAAAACTGACATGAAAAAAAACCCCCAAAAGATGATAAACATTGTCTATTTAAACATCAAACGGATGTGTTCAGACAATTGTTTAGGTTCTTGCATACAGTGTATTGTGTTATACTGCTGTAGTATGATATTTTCATGATTTCAATCACATGGCATTCTTTGTTTGACATTGTTTCTTCTGCTAAAGGACACCGGGCTCCACTATGACCGCTACCTCAGAGAAGTCATTGATTTTCTCGAAAAAGATGAACATTTCAGAGAAAAGCTCCATAATACCGACATGGAAGATATCAAGGTGAAAGCCCTCTTTACCTTTTCTTTGATTTACGGCTCTGAGTACGTATGTGATGTATGAGGAAAAACCATTAATCACCCGCTTCTCCTCCTTCAACAATGATAATTTCGGGTGCAAACTCAAAAGTAGTGAGATGTGTCACTCTGATGCCACAGTGTTTTAATCTCCCAATTCCAAAAGCTGCACTTTAATCACCTTTCACACCCTTTTACGGATGTTTAAGAGTCCCTTATGAAGGGCATCGCAGACGCAAACCTTCGTTGGTGCCCAATATGAAAACCTTTCCGTCACTGTACTACAAATGGGATGTATTACAACAATTACAGCATTTTCCGCACTATAAGGCATACCTAAAAGCATTCCATTTTCTCAAGAGCCGACAGTACGCCTTATCATCCTTATATCAGGATCAATATTCTGATTTCTTGGACGTATTGTTTTAAATGTTCTGTAAAGCGCTTTGTTCCAGCTGCAGCCAGTTGTGAAAGCGTTATAGAAATAAAGGTGTATTGTGTTGTATTCCCTTTAGTGTAGCTCCATCGAGTGGATGCATAACGCAACCGCAGCCACTACTGTGGCTTCTATTTTATGGGCCTTATAATGTGGTGCCCCCTAGATATGAAAACGGTTTTAAAATAGGCCATTCATTAAAGGTGCGCCTTATACTTCGAAGCGCCTTATAATGGAAAAGAGGGTAATGGAATATTTGTGTTTGGGCTCTTTTTGTTACAACAAGTAATGTTGAATAATGTTTACTTTCAGCAAGGTAAACTTGCCAAAGAGCTGGACTTTGTCAGCCACCACGTCAGAACAAAACTGGACGAGTTGAAGAGGCAAGAGGTAAATCGACTCCGGACACTCATCAAGGCTCGGCATGACCTTGAAGGTGGAAATGGTAGGTCAAGTGTAGAAAAAAGCCCCAAAACAAAATGTTTGATCCTAAATGTATATAACCTAAAAGGCTGCAACTTGTGCACGTGTCTCTTCGATAGATATTGCAGTGGACCACCAAGCTCTGCTGAAGCAGTTTGAATACTTGAACCATATGAACCCACATACGTTTGAAGTGGATGACCTGGATCGCCTGATAAAATCGGTAAATCGGCTGGCCAGCAAAAGTATTTGCACACTCGCGTCCTGAATGACTTGTAGACACACTGTTCAGACAACTGTGAGGAATATTGATCAACGGCAAAGCCTGTCAACAGACAGCAACGTAGCTGTTAGTTGTTCGAGGTTGACTGAAGTGGCTAATCCGGGATCGATAGCAACAGTTCCGAATATGCTTTTCTCCTTGCTAAGTCAGAGTTCAAAGAAATGATTTGCACACTGTATTTTCACTCACTGCTAAGATAATTGGACAATTTAGCCCAAAACAGCTCATGATGTTTGCGTATCAAGGCCACAAACGATCTGGAGAACTTCGACAAAGAGCGACACGAGGAGTTCAAGCGTTATGAAATGATGAAAGAGCACGACAGGCGGGAACACCTGAAGACGCTGGATGAAGATGAGCGAAAGCGAGAGGAGGAGCACTACGAGGAGCTGAGGAAAAAACACGCCGACCACCCCAAAGTCAACCACCCGGTAAGTCTGACCGGGACTGTGTTCACACTCACATGTCATCTTTGGATCGATTGTAATTCCTGGTGCGAACACTGAATCTCCCAAACCTTCTCTGACTAGTGTTTGGAGCGGAGGTGGGGCGGGGGGCGGGGGGGTGTCATCATTTTGAGACATGTAGCATCATTTGTCAACTATTTTGAAAATGTTGAAATACGGTGTCGTCTTCGCAGGGTAGCCAGAATCAACTCAAGGAAGTGTGGGAAGATACGGATGGCTTAGACCCAGAGGATTTTGATCCCAAAACTTTCTTCAATTTACATGGTAAGTCATTCTTTCAGTGCGACAGGTTTCCTCCTTTTAATGACAAGACACACACACACACACACTTCAGCCATGGCATCTATGTCTTCCTCTGCCTGATGCAGACACCAATGGAGATGGCTTCTTTGATGAACAGGAACTGGAGTCGCTGTTCACCAAGGAGGTGAGAAGTCATGTCATGTTGATGTTCTGGCGAAAAAGTCCTTGACTGTTGCTCGCTAATGTTTCAGCTGGAAAAACTCTACGATCCCACCAATGAGGAGGATGATATGGTGGAAATGGAAGAGGAGAGGTTACGCATGAGGGAGCATGTCATGAACGAGGTATTGGACAGCTGTTGAATATAAACTCAAGCAGCCACATTCGCATTTTGTACCTACGGTTGGCGAGCTTATTTCTTCTTGTGAACCTGAATAAAGTACAAAACGCAAACATTCGAAACACCTTTTACCATTTTGCTGTGCGGGTGTGCGGCCTGTCTTCACGTATTGCATCATGAACGAATAGAGTAATGTCATTTATTGACTCTAAACACTTGCAGGTGGATTCAAACAAAGACAGGCTGGTCTCTTTAGACGAGTTCATGACTGCTACAAATAAAAAAGAATTCTTGGAGCCAGATAGCTGGGAGGTAAGCAAAAAAAAAACCTCCAACAAACATTGTTATCACTTCAACAAATTCAAGGACTCTAAAATGGAGCTGGGTTCACGTGGTGTTTGTAGACTTTGGAGCAGAACCAGGCCTACACGGATGAGGAAATGAGGGAGTTTGAGGAGCACCTCGTTCGCCAAGAGCAGGAGCTTCACCAGAAAACTGCTGAACTTCAGAAACAGAGAGATGAGCTGGATAGGCAACAGGAGCAGCTGAATGCGCAGAAAGTTGAGTTGCAACAGGTAAGGGCACCGGCGTTGAACACACACACACGAGGACAAAATTGTTGGTGTGTCTCTGTTAATGAAAGGAAAACTCCACAGGGGGCATAGAAAGAACTTGAATCAGACAAAAGTGATAATGTAATGCTCATCAGATATTGCTTTTGAATTGTGGTTCAAAAAATGATTAAAAAAAAAAAGACTGGACAAAAATGACAGTTATATTTTGTTGCACAACCTTTTGAGGCTTTTTCCGGGGAAACTGAGCTGCTTCTCAAGGTCGTCAAGTAGAGCTGATTTGAGATAATATAGATTAAGGAACAAAGGAGTAGCAATGCATGATCAATAAGAATAAGAAAACCTTTATTCGTCTCACGATGGACAAATTCCCAATTACAACAGCAAAACTATGAAAGGAACAAAGTAGAAGAACAAAAAGTAGAGGAGCTGCTGCAAAGGCAGCCACTCACCTTCATTTTTGTTTTCTTTTTGTCAAATCAAGCTTCTGACTAGACAAAATGACTTGCGAGCTGGCAAATGTATTTACATGTGAACTGAGATATTTTTTTATTAGACCAAAGCCACACTGGATATTGTGGAAAAACTCACATTTTTTAATAGTAATTTTTTTTTTAAGTGAAACGCACACAGAGTCACGGCACAGTGTTGACAGTGATGTTTATGGATAACAGCTAATACAAACCTGAAATTTACCATCTCAGCAAATATGAATGTTACATAGCAACTATCAAACAGGTAAATGGGCTTTTATTTGTTTCGCGCCTTTCAACTCCGTTTCCTCATTTACCTACTGATGACGCAGCATCAGGAGCAACTGGACATTCAGTACCTTGCTCAAGGACACTTTGACATGGTCGCAAGGGTTGAGGATCAAACCCAAAACCTTCAGGTTGGGAGACGACCATTCGACCACTGATCCATGCCGCCCCCAAATAACTTTGGATGTAAAAATTGGATTAGAATTGGTCTTCTGAAAAGTATTTGTCCACAGTGTGTGTGTGTGTGTGTGTGTGTGTGTATATACTTGTATATAAAATGTTTTTATTAGTGAGACCTTTTGAATTGATTCAGGGATGAACTCGCGTTTGTTCTTTCCAGGCCGTCGATCATATGGAACGACTCAGGGCTGAAAAACAAGAACCCCCTCCCGAGGTCCATGGTAGGTCCAGGTTCATTTATTTATTCATGGTTTTAGCGCCGGGGCTGTTGTCTGACGATGCTGATCGACATCATTGTTGCAGTCGAAGGAAACGCCATCCCGGAGAGCCACGCAGCTGACAATCAACAGCAGCACTACCAGGAGGCCCTCATCCAAGAGCCTCAACCTGTTGCTCAGGTTTATCAGGATGCATCTCAGGTCCAGAGTCAACACCAGAATCAGCAGGTGGGCGAGCAGACACACCACAATCTGCCTCCAGGGGACCATGAAAGGCCACAATTTGAGAACCACCTCCCTTAGGGCCTTCACAGCTGGACTTTTGCAACCTCGTCTAATCTAAGAGTGTCTAATCTTTTTCACCATGATGACTGATTGGTGCTTTGGAACACACTCTGGACGGAGAAGCACACACGTTGAACAATACCAGTTTTGGGTGCCCGACTTAAGAATTACAGTATGGATTTTCAGGAGCATTTTGTCAACATAATGGCAGCGAAGGGACATTTGAGGAGTCAAAATACATTTCCTTTCAAGGCCTGTGGAAAAAGTCACTTTGAACGAAACACCAGAGAACTATTGTGTTGTGAATTTTTTTTCCCCCCTCCTATGAGTAGACCACTCATTGATACTTTGACTGAAAGCATCTTTTATTTTGTATCATTTCAATGACAAACTAAATTGCCATTAAAAACAAGGGTTTTGCTGTTTGTTCACCACTTGACAAAATGGCCACACATTATTGCCATATTGTTTGTCCTTTACCTGCCACCTTAATTTATGCGGTAAGCAAATACAAGCAATCATTCTGGTGAAATAATTATAGGACTGATCTGCCAAAACTGAAAAAAAAGTGACCATTTTTGGAATTCATTGAATGAGGCACACGACTTCTGCTTTTCGCGAACTGTTGAACACCCCATTCATTCGATGGTTGTTTGTCGGCATTACAGTGAAACTCCTCTACAACGAAACCTACATGGGCGAAAATACCCCCTAGTGTGAAAAAAATCTTCCTGCATTAAAGCCATTCCCACTTTTCTGCTCTCTCTACAACGAAAAATCCCCCTGTTGCGTTATACGAAATCTTTTTTTCTGCCCTTGCCTCGCAACAAGATTTACTACAACGAAAACAAGCCTTCCGCAAAAGTCGAATCCAACCTCAGCCTACAGCGACTCCTACTGTTTAGCTTGGAAGCGGCAACAACAAACACCACAGTGGCTTACACTTGCGAAGGAAGTATTTGTTATTGTTAGTTTCAGACGCAGCACGGACGTTGCATTGCTAAAATGGCTACAAAAACGGACCTTTGCAGACCAAGGAGTGAAGAAAAGAAAAGCTTTAACGCTTGAAGACAGGATAAATGTAATAAAAATGAAAGACGGAGGAAGCAAAGTAAAAGATATGCATGAAATTGATGTCAGCGAAAGTGAATGCTGATGGTAAATTTCACAATTTCTTTCCTTTTTTTTTTCTTTCTGCGCTAGCTATATGAAGTGTCAAATAAGTGTATGCTCATACTTATGCACTATTGGAATAAAAATAAAGAGTACACACACGTTTGTGTGTGTGTTTACATCTGAGATAAATTTGCTATAGTGAAAAGTCCCCTGTTGTGAAACATTTTTGCTGCAAACATGATTTCATTGTAGAGGAGTTTCACTGTAGAGGTTAACATTTTAATTTTTTTTTTTTTTTTATTACCCGCATAAACAATTGTGATTGTGTTTTAGTTGATCATAATTGATCATTTTTAACTTCAGACAGCTATTGGTAAAAATACATAAAATTGAATTGCAAAAATATTACCATTTGATCTCTGAATTTGCAAAAGGTCAAAAATAAAGAAGAGGCCATACAAGTGGAGTCTTAATGCAGGAACTCTTTGCATTCAGTTCCTATCTGTGATATGTATCTGAAAGATTGAAATCTGGTCAGATATGATGTTAGCTAACTTGCCATGCAGTGTTGTTTCTGTTCATAATTTCTTTGCATCTGCAAATCAGCATGTTCTCCTTATGTTCTTTGCCCCCCCCCCCCCCCCCCCCCAACCAACACAAAACCTACCCCGCCCGTGCTAAGTGGTTTTCTTTGTGAAAATACGGCATAGTAAGTTTGCACATTACGGACACGTGGTTCTGTTATTGCTTGCTGCTGGATTTGTCAGTGTATGTCTCTACTGTATGCCTCAGTTCAAGACAATAAAATGATTACATCCATTCAGTTTTAACAGTCACATAATTTTTAACATTTTTTTTATTAATGATTTCATCCATTCACTTTTAACAGTTACATTGACCTTTTTTTTAATATAACTAGCCAACTGAATGGTGTTCTTACAGAACTGCACAGCCATACTGTGTCTTCAGTGTAGCACAAGCAAATGCCTTGTAATAGAACACAGCTTTATTGAAACAGTCTTGACTGATTATCATACAAAGAGGTGATAGATGGTGATAGTTTAAAAAATAAATTGTCATGTCTACAAGATGAGAAGGAAAAGGTGACCAAAAAGCACTTGCCTGAGGAAAATCTCCAAGGAATCATTTTGACAGTGGCAGGGTATTTTTTGCATCATTTTGTACAAAAAATAAATTAATGAAATCTTTCAAGTTTACAGGAATACCTAGTTGTTTAATATCTCACATACTTGCCGATAATCCCACATGAAATTAGGAAACAGCATTTTGTGTTAAAACATTTAGAGAAAACGGGCAGACAAAAGCAGACTGACTTAAACAGGCCTTTAATTTAAAAAAAAAGTGTTACTGAGAAATGGAACATTAGAAAAGTGAGTTTGGGTGAGCACATTCAAAAATCCTGAATGTTCAATGTGGAGCGACGAGCCAGTCATTAGGATCGCATTGGTTGAGCATTACCTCGAGGCCCCTGGGCAGCCCCCCGTTTGTAACCTTGTTGGTAGCCCTCCTGCAACACACATCACCATGACCCTTTTCACATATCAGGTTCACACCTAGACCCCCCCACGCCCATTTTTGTATTCATTTGATAAAATAAAAAATAAGACAATAAAATAAAATGATAAGATAACTTTACCCTCTGATAGTTGTTAGTCGAGTAGTCCCGGGCCCCCGCGTTGAATTGGTTTTGACCGTAACCACTGCTGGGAGGGTTAGAGAAAGGAGGACGGTAACCTTCATATCCCCCTGATCACAAAAAGAACAACAACATCAAATGTCTTACCTTTATATGTTTTTAGGTTACAGCAGCAATCTCAGATGATCCCTTAAAACAGCTCATTGTATGTCACTCACTTACTGATTTGCAGCAGGGCTCGGTTTCCATCCCTCCTAGCCCTCCCCCCATGGGAATCCATAACTACAATGTGGCCTTGTGATAGATGAGTTCCAATTAGGACTGTGTACCTCTAAATCCATTGGAGGAGCCGCGGTAGCCATTCATGGCGCCTCTGCCGTTCCTTGCGCCGCCCCGGGGCACGGTCCTGCTGTTGAACAAGGACTGGCCCGACTGTCCGAAGCCTGCGCCAGGCGACGAATCTCCATGCACAGCTGGCGAAGGCATGATCGACGCTTGGGGCTGGAATCCAGCAACAACTGGAAGGCCACGAATGACTTAATACATTTAAATCACACACAGCATTTGTTTAATACAGGATTTAAAAAAAAGTCTTTTTTGCGGTTTTACCAGATTGTAAAGTCTCCTGCGGGATGTCAGGATGGTCAGCAGCAGGCTCCAATGGACCACTAAAACTCTGCCCGTAGCTCACAGGAAACTGGGGCGGCTTTCGAGGATCAGCTTGGCCGCCGGCTGGTGGCGCAGGTGCACTCAGAACAAATACCTAATAAAAGCAGAATCAACATTTCTACATTACAGGCCAAATAAAAAGAATATACCTCACTCATCGCGTCTATAAATGATTCAGAATTAAAGGAGTGAGATGGAGAGAGCCACTTGTCCCTACTGAGGAGGAAGGGAAAAAAATGACATGCAGGCATTGGCTGTACTTCATTGCCGTGAAGTACTTAAGGACTGGACACGGATACGAAGCATTACCGCTTGCACTGACTGGAAGGGGGCAGCATTGACATTGATGCCTCCAGTGTGGGTGGATTTGGAAGCAGGTGGGAAGGCAGAGGACAGGGAACAAGAGGCAGACGAATGCTCAGAAGACAGAGACATTGCAGCCTGGAGGGTTTGGAAAGGGGGGACAGGAGGAGAGGGGGGAAGGAAAAATAAAAGATGTAGTAAGTTGGATAAATGATTGACTGTAGCATTGCAAAAAGTCTGAAAATGATCTATTTCGCTGGCAAATGACTGTCTACAGCAGGGGTCATCAACATGGTGCCCACATGCACACAAGGACCACATCACCAGCCCGTGGGCCTGTTTTAAAAACAGCTAAACTTTGATGGGACAATGCAATTTCCTAGGAATGCGGTAGAAGTCATCATTTGAAAATGTCAACATGGCAAAAAATGTATAGAAATAGTGTTTCGCATTGATATTCACCTGTTTCTTAAATTATTGAGAAACAATTAACATGATCCGTGTCTTCACATACATTAATGCTAGGGTTTTTTGTGTAAGTTTTTTTTTTTTTTTTTAATTAAAAGATATAAGTGCATCGAATCAAGCCAAATCTAATCGATCCACTTTAGAATACATCAAGATACGCGTCAAATTGTCTTTCTTTGGAGAGACATACACAGTTGTGCTCCTAAGTTCACATACCTATCACGGGTCACCTGTTTTCGGAAGCTCAGCCATGAATGGTCATTACCTGAGCAACTATGATGGCATTTTCAGTCGACAGCAAGTGGCAAAAAGGCTGCTGCCCCCTGCAATGGCTAAGAACAAGTGGATTTTGCTGCTTAACTCATATTCCACAATTGCAATATTAATTTGAATGCCATGTTTAGACCAGTGAATCCCTAGTGGTTACTGGTCTCGAAACAGTGCTAACCGCTACGTCAGCCCAGCGGGCTACAAACCAGCAGAATTCCGTCCTCATTCAGGATGCGGCATACATGTAACATATGCGCTTTAAAAGCAGCCGAATACTCATTGTTTTACATGAGACTGCACAGTGGCAGTAATTCGCCATCATCAGAATAGTTGACGAGTACGGACGGGTACTGTACGTCGTACGTCTCTGTGCTTAGCTGTAAGCCATTCCGACTCACTATTGAGAGCGTTATATGGAGGAAAGACTGCGGACTCGTGCAGAGTCGTTGGTTTGACTTCTTCTGTTCATTACCTGAATGACAACATCGCGTTCGCCATAAGATGAGCCACTGTTGCATTTTCTGTCGTACTTTTTCTGCTACTTACGTGTGAGGGTTCCTTTGGTCCTGTCATCGCACTCATCTGCGGAAGTCTGGACTCTGAGTGGGCTGTAGGGAGGACAGTACAAAAAATGTGACACAAATGTTAAAAGCTTGGTCACTCCCAACTTCAGTGTCTCCTAGTATTTGTCAGAATTGGACAAGGGGAGAATATTTGAGTCTTGGGTTGAGATTAGGTTTGAAGAGGGTCAGGCGTTTTTTTTTCCATGTTGAAATGCTACATCAGAATTTTGTAAGATGAATACTTGAAGAATTCAGTCAGTTGCACTCAACCCAAGGAATTCATGGAACCACCCGCCCCTGACAAACATTTGCCTGTCATAAGAAAAGTAATACATTACAGATTGCAGGAAGGACATTGGGAATAATGGTTAGCCTTCCTAATATTCAAGGTTAAAGGCGTTATATGTCGGCATCACCGTGGAGTTCGCAAAAACCATCCAAATGTAACATCTGTCACTGAATGACTACACAAACTACTTATTTTAATTACTCAGAGATGAAAGTGGACTTTTCTGAAAATTCCGGAAAAATAAATAAATAAATATATATATGTATATCGCGAATACTCTGATGATTGATTTTTAAAAAAATTTTTTTTTTTTTTAGTCAGAACAATCTCCATGTGTGATGGATATATATATCAAATATATATCTATATCTATATATATATATATATCAAATATATATATATATATACACACACACACGCACGCACACACACACACTCACGCACACGCATACACACGCGCACATGCACTTGGCCGATCACGCATGAAATAGTTTACACAAAACGACATTCAATGATTAATCTTCCTTTTGTGTGCGCACGTGTACCCTTTGTGGCTTCCGTTCGGGCCGAAATTTCGAAATCTCCAAGATATGGCGAGGCCATGAGAATGCGAGGCGAGGGTATTACTGTTGTGGCGACGCCACTCAAGCTAAGCGAGCCTCAGCAGTAGATAGTCCGCTGCTCTCTGCTGTGCGTGCTTCAGCGCGAACATGTACGCAAGCGCGTCTTTTGATTTCAACCAATCAGCGCCGACGCAAATGACGTCACACACGACAACAGCTAAGCTAAGTTAGCCGAGACGACACTCGAAGTCGGACGGACACGGTTTTCTGCCAATCTGTGTTTTTCCCTTTTGGGCCAAATATATTTTTTACGACAACTGTCTTGTCCACGGCGTCTTTTATTCGTTCCACTGGGGTTTAGCAGGTGTGTTTATAAAGAGACGAAAATTGTTTGGGGACTATCCCCCACGTTCTAGTTGAGATGGTATAACCCAAGAGGCAAAATGACGCTTGCTACTGTTGTTGCGAGTTGCCATTCGTTCTACTAAACCATTAGTCAAACGCCATCATGTCTTCTGTCGTTATTACACAAACAAAAATCTCTTTACTGTTAGTAGTGTTAGTGCCTCAATATGGCTAAGCCTGTGAAAGCAATACAACGAAATCAAACGCGTCTTCGTTCAATGTTGTCTACTAATATCCGGATTAATTTTTTGCAAATTTTCCTCAATTCTCCGGAGAAATTTTCATAAAAATTTGAAAAACCCGGAATTCCGGGAAAATCCAGAACGACTTTCATCTCTGATTACTTAAGCATAAATCACAGTAATAATAGTACAAAGTAAATGGGCAGAAGATGGATGTCCTCCGGATACTCCCTGCCCAAGTTAAATCCCACCCATGACCTTCTGAAGAAGCCAGTGAGGGTATAAGGCAGCATACTCACATGATGCACATGCTAGCTGTTGGAGGTCCACAGTCTGGACAGGCTTCATGGGCTGGGCTGAAACAATGGCCGGGTCGAGGAGCTGCCCATCAAAATCCAACACTGAGTCCTTGTGGTTAAAATAAATAAATAAATAAATAAGTGGTAAATCATGGTGTAGACATCATAGGTGAGGAGACGTGATGTCATGATGTAGATGCACTGTGCTATAGATGAGGGTTGGCGATTATGGTTTTTATGCTGCTGAGACATATATGACAATGTTTATATGAGATTAACAAGGACCACAAAGGAGCTTTAGCCTTCTTGGGGTTCCATGTACAGTCATACCTCGGTTTTCGACCATAATCCGTTCCAGAAGGCTGTTCAAAAACCGATTTGTTCGAAAACCGAAACCACGCTCTTTAAAAAAAAATCTTTATTGAACACGTCTGCTTACAATGGAACGCTACACGACGAAGCGTCACTTCCTCGTCTACCCGAGGAAGCGTCATTTCCTCGTGTAAGGAAGGCGAGAGGAGTCAAGTGGCGCATTCAAGTGCGCTCAGTTTGGTCGAGAACCGATTTTCGGTCGTAATCCGAGGCATAAAAAACTTGAAATTTTTGGTCGAAAACCGATTTGGTCGAGAACAGAGACGTTTGAAAACAGAGGTTTGACTGTATTGCCTTTCTGGGTCAACCACTGTCTTCAATTCTTTGCTGGAACGCTGTAAAACGGAGACCACTCCAACAGTAATGTCAGAGATGATCACTCGGACAGTTGAACAGAGACTCGACCCAGGAAGAAGTTGTCTTTGACTGCCAGGGAGGAGGCACGATTGTTTGAAGTCGTACAAACTCGTGCTCGCTTCTCAAACCAAAACCTGAACCCTCGCAGCTCCTGCTGGCCTTTATTGACAGTATAGGCAAATTAAAAATGACATATCAGACAAACACTCCCCCTTCATTTACACGCCGCGCCTCTCAGTGGACACCTGGGGGCCAAGACACTTATCCAGAATCGACAGATACCTTGACATTTTTCTGAGTAGTCTTCCCATGAACTGATACATCTGTAACTTTGCTCAAGGACATCTTATTATGCTGGAGCGCATTCTGTCCTCCCTATCCGCCCGAAGTTGAATCTTTCTTCCTGTATTATCAGTTAACAAGCGCCTTTGCTCCATTCACCTCAAACTGACCCCTGATTCTCTGTGCTCCATTGTGTACAAGCTGTATAAACACACGCGTTCGAGGTCAATCAAGCATGTAACAAAATGAAACTTAAATATGATAACATTGTGTTTGTCTATTCTCCATCAATTACACTAACGCACGCAGACTATGGTTCCTCTCACCTGCATGAAGTTATAAGTCCCTTGCATCTGGGCCATGAGGTCTTGCACTGCCTGCTTTCTGATCACCGGGTCAGTCGACGGAGACGGGCTGACACGATTCACAGCAACGCTCGGTTCTGGTGGCAGCTGGGTGGGGGGCTGATGCTGAAGGGAATTCACCATCTTGGTGTAGAAAATAATACACTTTAACAAAACTACTTGCGCAGCGGGTACGCAGGGTCATAGAGAAGCACAGCATACCTGCATGTCCACTGACCACTCCTCCACATGTTCTGTGTCTGTACTGCTATAAGTGCTTTCCGGGATAAACTGTCTATTTACAAACTACAACAAACAATATAAGTTAGCCACCAAAAAAGAAAAAGTCATTTCATTGGTGTTTGTCTGAAGCAGTACAATGGGCACGGAAATCTCACCTCTGTGGTTTCCAATTGCACTGGCTGTGGATGATTTTCAGTAACTGTTGCTTCTTAAAAAGAAAAAAAAAAGCTTTTAGTTTCCCCGCAGCACATTTAAACAAGCATCTTGTGATTGTGTTCAACCCTACCTGGTTCGGGTGTTTGCTCTGGAACATTGGAATCAGCCACCACTGCTTGCTTTTCCTGCTTCTCCTCTTCCTCTTCGCATGTTCCATTTCGAGCACTTGGTGCTCTGTCAAAGTAGCCGCCCTGAAGCAAGTTCTCCATGATGTCCTTCAGTGCTTTGTCTGGAACATGATAGGTGAAATAATTCAAGTGTGAACAGAATTTAGTCACATAACATCACCATAATAAACATAAAAATAAGAAAGAAAGTGTCATTTCAACTCCAGAATGTAGTTCAGCTTTGTATCAGGGTGCATACTTAAGAGACAGGGTCATGTGCAGGCTTACCTAGATGCAGCAGCACACAATAAGATTAAATTTGGCTGGCGTACAAAAAAAATAATAATACAGTAATAATGAAATAAGTGATTAGCCTTTTGACTCATGAAGAGTCAACTGGTTGACATGGCTGACACTCCCAAAAAGCATACACACAAAAAGGCAAAAAAAGGGTGGAGGACACAGATCGTTAACATTGGTTGCAATTCCGTTTCACATGTGGTTTTCTGCTATTCTACTTTCTGGCGAAAATAGATTTAAGTAAACAAAGAAAGAAGAAAGACAAACTGTTTCAGTATCCTGACACAACTCAAAACGGTCACGGGAGCAATGGAAATGCTTACATGACGTTCCTGCCACGGCCTTGTCCCTGCCCTCGAGCAGTTCCCACAAGTGCAGTGAGGCCTCTTCATATTGTTCAGTCAACCTGTAAGTCAATGAGGAGATACGGTACACCATCCATTCTGTGTATTGTGAAACGATTGACCCATTGTGCCATTGCATATTCCTAACACATGAATACATCTTATGAGGCACTAATAATACTTGAGCGGGCACCACACACCTGACGTCGCAGTTTCGATCAGGTCCGACGAGTTTGTAGAACTCGTCGAGAGATGCGAGATCAGCATCCGTGAGCAAAGAGGAGCCAGAAGCATCTGGCCGCGTCAGATCCTGCCTGACGTTGTGGTCACCCAACTGGTCCAATAAAAACTGCAGCTCCAACACCGTCTTCAGTCGCCGTTGCTCCATTTCCTCTCGCTGCAGCTGTTGGCGTCTTGCAGTTTTCTTCAAAGTCTTCTGAATCTAAACACACGCCCTTACCGTTTTAGCTCAAATCATGACAAATAAATAAATAGCACCAACATCTGCTTACACAATGTTCCCAGTAGCCAACGGAGCCACGTTTTAGAACAAAACGGGTTCGACGCGAGATGACGCAGGGTAAAGGAATAGCAAACGTGACAGGCTGCGACTGCTCGGAAAAATATATGCCACTGCAGTCACGATGCGGGTGACAAACTTATTCGGACAGAGTAAAACGGGGTGAATGTAACTAAACCTGACAGTGAGAGGTGGTACGCAGTGGAAGGGGAAACAGATGTGTTCCCTGACATTTCTTACTCGCCAACAACAATTCCACATTTGGTTAAGAAATCGATTTGTGAATAAGTGGATGACAGAAAAAGGGTCTGATCAAACATATTGAATTGCAGTGACCCCACCCGCGCTGACGTGCCACAAACATGCTCCAAAGGTGCCCAGCCTTAATGTTTGTCATTTTCTGTGTTTTTGGCCGGTTGATAATGTGTGTTCTCTCTGCCCACAGTCTAATTGGAGGGCGGAGTCCATAAGCAGCACCAGCTTGCATTCAGCCTTGGCGTGTTTAGGTTCAGCTCCGGATCAGTGTTGTTTTCGTCAACGATGACGAAATTATTTTCACTTTTTGGTGATGATCACGAGATGACGGCGATGACTAAAATATGATGTGACATATGCAAGTTTCCATTGACAAGACAATACTGGACGAAAGTGCTTGTGGTCTGTCAGACGTTCAAAATGCATGACATCTCTCTCCATAGTGCATGTAATCTGCCTGTCAAAAAATATCCATAATGCTGCTGCAACCTATCCTTGTTTGGTCCCGCCCACCACCTAGCCGGCACGCAGTGCACACACACACACCGGCACAACATGTCTGCGGTCGATAGTCACTAGGGTGGTCCGTTTTGGAAAAGTTTGTCGGATTCGTCGGGCCGGGTCGGAAATCTTGTCGATACTATGACACAAGGATGTGTGCAAAATTTTATTCCGATCGGATAATTTTATCCCGTCCCGCAGAGCGACCAAAGTTTCCCCTATGGAAAGAATGTTACGGGGCTGAATGGTAGTACGGTTTCTCCCGTACAGTAAGGATTTTGTTTTGCTCAGTTCGCACTTGCAATAATTCAAAGACGGAAGACAGGAACGCATGTATTGCAAAAAAGGCAACCGTGGTTATCCTTCAACACTGGTGAGATTGTTGGTCCATGTTAACTGGTCCATCTGTCTATCTGTCCATCTGTCTATAATGTCCATCAACACTAGTGACACTGTTAGACCGCAAAAAAAACGAAATCCGCCGTGCGTGCCATCCCATGCCTACTTCGCGCACGGGTGCAACGCCCGGTGTCGCTCCACGACCTGCAGAAGGTGCTGTCGCTGTTCCTCGTCGCGCGTGATGGCGCCGCAGAACGCGCTGATGAGGGCGACGCCCCTCTCCGCAAAGTCGTTCACCACCCGTAGGTGACGAGCGCGCCGACGAGCCGTGGTGATGTTCGATGTCGAAAAGCGTCCTCAGCTCAGCGTCCAGTAAGAATTCCGGCGATTCTCGACTTCAATTGAAAGATATTAGCTCGCCAGTAGGTGACCGTTGTGTGTTAGGCGTGCGTTTGAGTTTGTCTCCGGCTGCTGAGAGCAGCGATGGAATGGTTAGTTAGTCAGGAGGTGATCGTTCGGGCAACATTCAGCCCAGCCAGTGTCACGCATGGCAAAATACACGGTTAAAATACACATGTTCACCCTATTGAGACCAGTTGTTATGGTGGAAACTTTGGCCGCTTTGCGGGACGGGAAAATATCATCAGATCGGAATGAAATTTTGCACAGAACCTTGTACCATAGTATCGACAAGAATTCCGACCCGGCCCGACGAATCCGACAAACTTTTTTTTTTGCCATGAAAATGTGGACCACCCTAATAGTCACACACATGGACACGATTTCTGTTGATGGACCAATGGCGGCAGTGTCAACAAAGGGTGGTTGGAAATGAATGGACGCACTTTGGGTTCAACGCAGTAGAAAGAACAACACAATGCATTGTAGACGGTGGTAACGGTAAATGTTGCCCCCAACTAGGAGGAAAGAATACTCCGAATCTCAAGCGGCATCTGAAGGTTTACCACGCTAAGATTTTTTCGCAGGCAAGTCGCAACTAGCCCTGTTAACATATACTGTAACTGTATACATTTGCTAGCATTCAATGTCAGCAGTCGGCTTGTGATAAATTCCAGTGTAAGCTTTAAAGTTTTCCACGTGACACCTGGTGCAAATGGGCTAACTTACGGCTTAAGTTATTTTGGTTGAGCGAACGTCAAGAATCAGTAGGAATGGAAGGAGAAGATCATAAATTGTAGTTTGCTTCTTTTTTTTTTTTTTTAAACAAAGCTTGTGATAAATATAATTCTTGTGAAAACAGCCACACGCGACAAATAAAAACTATCAGATGCTCTCCATTAATGATGGGTGTTTATAACATAAGCTATTCTCTGAGTTACACTATTGTGCGGGTATGATGTCAAACAGCATTGCTTTCACTATCCAACCTACACACCTTGAAGAGGAAATTCAAGCCAGATCCTGATTTACTCACAAAAGCTTCTGAGCCGAATTGACCGGTGGACACCTGACTTAATGAAGTCATTATCCATCGTAAACTTAGAACTTTAATGCACAGCAAATCTGGAACAAAAGCAATGTATTTGGACTCACCTCTTGGCCAAGGGTCAGGAAAATCTTCTGCAGCTCCCGAGCAAACTCAATATTGGTGAGGATCTCCTGGTACTTTGACAAGGCCTCCTTCAGGCACATCGTGGAAAAGTGTATTGGACTTGGGTGAATAAAACAGGCTGTATCTACATAACCAGACACTGTGTACATACCAGCTGATCCTGATTCAGGCTTTCACCTTTGTTCTTCTTCGCTTGATAGTCATCCAATTTGGACTGAAAGAGGGGGATGGTGGTTAAAATATCGTAGGTGGGCTAAATTTTAAAATGACAGATAATCCTTGGAAAATGAACACATTCTTAACAGAGGCCGATGAATCGCAGATAGTTACTATTTATTCCAAAAATGGGTTCAAAATACAAAAATTGTTGGAGAAAGTAATATTCACTATTGATAGTACAAGTACAACCACAACACTTGCAAAGCAGCTCACAAAAACATTTCCAGCACACATACACTTAAAACAATCATCTGCTAATGGAAATGCATTTTAGAAGTTTTGTTGGAACTTGGATTCAAAGTTAATCACAAGGAGGGGTTTAAATCTGGTTTCCACCATGAAAATGAAAATTTTGCCTGCTGTGAAGCCCAAGGCACTTTCCCTCAATATTCTTTAGTGAGCTTACTTAATTACAGGGGAAATATTAAACCGATGCATCTCAGTATGATTCAGTGCTACACACTGACAGTTTTACTCAAATGTGATTGCTCAAGCATTGATGTGTTGCGTGCTGTGCTGTGTTGTGGACATGATGGTGATCATAATGAAAGAAAATTATGGTGCTCTGGATAATACCTTTTTTTTCTCCATGTTGCGAACCTTCTTGTCGAGCACACCAAGAACCTGCTTCATGGCGTCAGACTTGCTCCCGTTTCCAACCTCTGGAATGGCAGACTGGACAGCATTGTTGCCAACCATCGCTGAAGGCATCTAAATTAAGTTGGGGAGAAGGCAAATAATCCACTTATTTGTTCAAACAATTTAACTGGGAAACAATTCAGTATGAGTAGAGCAGTTACTCGTGTCCAGCTATCGCTGTTAGAACGTGACCTTCCATTGTGTGGGAGTTACCCATTGTGGAACATTTTGACTTTTTTTGGTACTTGTCATGCGCTTCAAAATAGTATGGTTCGGGAAAGAAACAGACACAGCACGCAACACTTTGGGAATATCTTTTTTGTTTCGTTTTAATATAACTGAAAGCAGTGAGGGCAGAGCGGCTCAAAATGTTACGTAACCAAACCTACAAAGTAATTGAACAAGTTGAACACTTTGACCATACTTTACCCTGAGCGTTCGTGCGTTGCTGCAGAGTCTACGAGTGAAACGACATCAACCTCGGTCACGTTCAAATCAATATTGCGTTATTTTATGAGAGATCAACGTTGGTCTCGCTCTCTTATGTCCCATTGTTAGCCTGCAAGCTAACCACTCATTGCTGCTATGCGTCTATTTACCCGGTTTCTCCACACGCATTCGCTAAAACATCGAAAATGACATTTTGATGTTTTCAAACGGGTTTTCAGTGTCGCTTAGTGCGGATAAACTAACACGATCAGTGGATGCTGCAACAGCTCGTCGTGTGTCGTCGTCTCAACTGAACATGACAAAAGACGATTTTCTATCTTCTGCCATTCCGTGATTGTTGTACAAATAGCATACCTTTATACTCTTTGTCTTCAAAGAGATTTACGTCGACTAGATTAACAACAATTGAGCAGGTAAACTCGGTGGCTTTGCCTTTCTGTGGTATTTTTCCAGAAAAGATGCTCGAGGTGACACACGAACCGGCTGAGGAAGGAACTGCTCTCTATGGCTGCTCTTTGGCTGCTCCTGATGCTGAGCCAGGCAAGACCACAAGGACCCCTCTCCGGTGCCCTCAACGTTGCCTGATTAGAAAAAACACCACCACAGTATACATAGGTTTTACGCTATTCTCATATTACGCTCGAAAGAAAAGAGATTTTGAAGCCTTCTGTTTCTGTCTCTTTCTGCCAATACACACACCTACTATAAACATATTTAGTATTTACACAATATTCCAAAGAGTACTAACTCGGATCCTGAATATAATTTAGGTTGATTAAAACAAATACGGTATAAATAAACCGGCATACGACACGTACGTCATTGTAGAAATGGTATGTGATTTATTAGTATTATTTTTCGTTTAAAAACAAAACCGGTTTAATTGAGGATTAGCGGGTCGGATAATGGATGGATAAAAACAGGTGAAATCTAATATACATGCTCGAAAAAAAATGAATTTTTTATACTAGTACGACTACTAGTACTACTACTACTACTACTACTAGGACTCCTCCTCCTCCTCCTTCTCCTCCTACTACTACTAATGATAATACAGTAGCAATAGGGCGGCTAAGTGGTTGACTCACAGTGCAGAGGTGCAGGGTTCGATCCCGGCGCCGGCCTTCCTGTGTGGAGTTTGCATGTTCTTCCCGTGCGTGGGTTTTCGCCGGTTACTGCAGTTTCCTCCCACATTCCGAAAACATGCATGGCAGATTCATGGAACACTCTGAATTGTCCCCGGGTGTGAGTGTGAGCGCAAATTGTTGTGTGACCGGCGATTGGCTGGCAACCAGTTCAGGGTGTCCTTTGACTCCTGCCCGAAAACAACTGGGATAGGCTCCAGCACGCCCCACGACCCTTGTCAGGATAAGCGGATCAGAATATGGATGAATGGATGAATAATAGTAATATTAATAACAATACTGTAGTAACAACAGTAATACTGTAATGTTATTAATATCCATATTTTTTTAAATCAATGCTAATGAAGTTTTTGTTCATGAGTACATGTTAGCTGTTTTGGCTGCTCTACTAACTGGTCAGGAACAACATTTTCATGAATAATGACAAAAGAAACACCATGTCTGATATCCTTTCTGACAGGCTTGCCTTGGTTTGAGTAACACACTCATTGTGGCTGAAAAGATTGAAAAAGTAATTTCTTAGGTCTATCCAAGGTCAGAGAAATTAGCATCAGGCGCTATTTCTGCTGAGTAATGAAGCGCACTTTTTTTTCTTCCTCTGGATAAGTGAAAATGTTTTATTAACAGGCTTGCATGTATGTTGAAAAACAAACAAATTCAGAGCATAATTATTCTATTTGAAATATGTATGTGACATAGCAAAATGTGAGGAATTAGGCCTGTAGACATGTCAATGAAAGCATAGCAAAAGTACCAAAATCAGTGTGTCATTAAGAGGAAGGGACAAGAAAAGTTACTCAACAAATGCATGTTTCTGTCTTGATGCATGAAATATTTTACATTTTGTGGGACGGGCAGCAGGCACAAAATTGCTTCCGATTCCGGAATGACTCATATACTTTTTGTGAATTTTTTTGGGGTGAAGCGCTCTGAGCACTACAATGTAAAATATGTGCCTGACTCAATGATGGCTGAAGTGCTGCATTATGAATGATACTGAAATATTTGATGTAATTTCAAAAAGATAACAGATGAGGGCAGTAACGTCAAATATATTGTAATTGCATGAAAGCCCATACCTCTCAAAAAAGACTGGCCTTTTATCAAGTTATGGTACCATAAATAATTTTCTTGTAGCAGGCCAGGTTGGATAGGGTGATTGATTTCATTCAAGGTGGCAGGGGCGTAGACTATTTAGCATGTCTGCCTCATAGTGCAGAGGTGCAGGGTTCAATTCGGCGTTTGTGTTTGCATGTTCTCCCCGTGCCTGCGTGGGTTTTCTCCGGGTACTGCGGTTTCCTCCCACATCCAAAAACATGTGTGGGCAGGTAATGGAACACTCTAAATTGTTCCTCGGTGTGGTTGTTCGTCTCTGTGTGCCCTGCGATTAGCTGACAACCAGTTCAGGGTGTCCCCCGCCTACTGCCCGAAGACAGCGAGAATAAGCGATAGGCGTGAAGATAAGAAGATTAGAAAATGGATGGATGGATTTTATTCAACCATTCTTTGTGACAAAGAGCACTTGAAAATGGCCAAATAACGTCATTTGCAAGTTGCAAGGTTAACACACGGATGCAATTTCAGTTGACTAATTATCATCCTCACATGCTAATATTTGCAATCACTCTCTGCACATTCATTATTACTTTAACGGTTCAATAATCCTGTAATTGTGTTTTAATATAATGCCAATATACACAACTTCGCAGTCATGAACCTATTTGTCCAAAACAGACTATATTTTTAAAAATCTAAATTTAACATTGATGCAAAACTGTTTTTTTAACTCTCTATCAAAACAACTATATTTGGAATTAAACGTGGAGCACATCTATGAAAGCGACAATATCCGTTCTAAACTTTTTTACCATTTCTCATCTCCATTTCCAGTGTTTTTCGAGATTCAAATGTAAAATTAATTGTGCAATGACAGACATGAAAATTCATAGTAAATATCTATTGATAACCTTTAAAAGGTATACAGAGAAGACGAGATGTAAAAGTTCAGGTATTTACAGGATTTCGTACAGTATACATATAATCTAAAATATTTTGAGGAGTATTTAGTGCTTTTTCAAACGTGCCACTCTGTGTAAAGAGTTAAGAGTGTTTGTACAGGATCTGTCGCTGCTCACTGTGATGTAGTTTTTTTGAATAATGGCCATACATCCTTTAGTCTTCGAGGCTGCGCCACATCGGAATGGATTAAATATGTGCTGCTGATTTATTGGCAAAAACCCACAAGGGCCCCACAAACGCTTGAACCTCAGACCATTTGTTGTGTGGCTGAGTCAAACCGAAGAATCCATCTGCAACCCCTATGGTGCCCCCTCCTTTTTCCCACTCTCCCTTTCACACTCGGTATCTTTACATTCTGTTATCCGCCAGCTTTTCCTCAGAGTCTTCAGTGGCCTAAGTCAAACACGCAAAGTTCCCAAACTCCTTGTTTGGTTTGATGTTGGGGCATTTTTAAATTAGTTGGCAAGATTGATCATTCACAGACCACATGTGTGACGACAGACTGCAAGCGTCTCCATTTGAAATATAATTGTTGTCTTTGTTGCAGTTTTTTTTTTTTAAGCATTGTCCTGCGAAGACTGAGGATTATTCGTGGAAGGTGATTGAAGCCTTTTTCGTAAACTATGATAATTGCGATCTCATTCCCGTAATCATAAAAAAAAAAAACATATGCACCATTTTTCACAGCAGTGCTTTTCCACACATACACCCCCCATCTCCCTCAATGGCATGTTCAAAGACTCTGATTTATGATGTGTGATACCACAAAGTGGCTGGAAAACTAAACCACATTCATTACCACATTGATTGAGGGTATGGACATAGCGAAAGTGGTTGTTCGATGAGGCCTGATCTTTGGTAAGAATTGGCTTATGCATGCAGTATTTTGTCTTTACACTGAACACTGAGATGATCAAGATGGTCCTGAAGGTATTGACAAGCGATACAAATTCAACCATGTGCTCTCTGGCACGTGTTCTCTTGTTCGTTGGCCTCTCATTGACTCCAAGAACGCTTTGCATTTTCAGCTCTCACTTTTCTGTCATTATTGCAGTCTGCATTTCTTGTTTGCAGTAACTGACATTTGTTTTGTATTTATTTATTTTTGCTGAGGATTATTTTTGAATGATTTTGTCATTCGACATGCAATTGGGTTGCGGATATTAAATTTATGCACACCACACAACAACTGACATTTCCCAGTAATCAGTCCCTGCGTAAAGGCTGAGTTATACATGAGTGAAGCAATTCCAGGACACGACTTCCATTCATAAAATTTTTTTTACACCACTTATTCTTATTTGAGTCAAGGTGGAGCTGGAGGGTATCAGCTCCCCCTTGTAGAGTTTGTGTGAGAGGCAGGTTCCACCCTGAACTGAAACAACAATTCACACTTATATTATTCACTGACAAACAATACAACAAATATGCTTTGAACACAAACCCATGCAAGCATGGGGAGAACATTTCAGGCTCTATTTTGGTAGCCTGGAGCCCGTTTACCCGGCACCAAAGTGAGCATAACTCCTTTTTTTTTCGGCGCAAGTCTAGTCTTCTGTGCTTGGGGCCGTGCTACGCCTCTCTGGGCGCTCTGGCGCACTGAGCTGAGTTGCCTCGCCCTCGACTCATTCGGCATTTTGGTAACAGCAGTTTTCTTTTTGGGGGCGGGGGTGAATTTGGTGATTTTGCGCTACGCCTCACTCAGCAATCCTGCTGCACCCCCCTGATGCATCTGTGAATTTGATGACAACATTTTTTCCCTAGGTGTGAGTGTGAGCACAGGTGGTTGTTCGTCTCTGTGTGCCCTGCGATTGGCTGGCAACCGGTTCGGGGTGTCCCCCGCCTACTGCCCGAAGACAGCTGGGATAAGCTCCAGCACGCCGCGCGACCCTTGTGAGGATAAAGCACATTAGAAAATGGATGGATGGAAAGTAGACTGTATTTTAGACTCATAAAAAGCCGGTCTAACTCATGGCGCAGGTGGTGTAATGCGATTTTGGTGTACAGTATTTGATAGAGGCGCAGGCAAACAAATTCGGCGCTCTGTGGACATGTATAGTGGACATCATTGTGAGTATTTATACAATAAGTTCGACACAAGCATGGGACAATCCCTCTGAATCATTTTAGGAATCAATTCATTGAATGAATTATACTCATTATGATCTTATACATATTTTTATAGCACTCTTGGGCAAAGGTGTCAAAAGTATTTACGTTCATTCCTCAAGTAAAAGTATAGATATTGTGATTTAAAAAGACTTAAGTAGAGGTTGAAGTATAAACTCCAGCTTTGTACCAAAACAATAAAAAAAGAATGGTTTTAAAACGACTTAAGATATAATAGTAAAAATAATGCAAGGA